ACGAGCTTGATGTAGCACTGCAGCACGCGGCGTTGGACCATCATGTCCAAGTCATGCAGCTGGAGCGCCGGCGTCAGTCTCTGCGACACATCATCGGTGATCTTCTTCGATGGAAGTGTTCTCAGGAAAGCAGAGGTATTCTGCAGCATTGTAGCTATTCGCTTGGAAACGTCAACCGTCAGCAGCCTGGTGTTGAATTGCAGGAACGACAATATCGAGCCCAGTGCACACTCTCGCACGTGAGTCAGGAAGGACGCCTCGAGCAGACTGCGGTGAGCGGTGTTGTCTTTCGACAATGGCTTGGGCAGCGCATTCTTCCAGAGCAACAGCAGCTGGGAGAGGTGAATCTTCACAAAGTTTGGGCCCAGAGACATCAAACCACCAATCAAGATCCACGCTACCTGAATCTGAGTGCTAGAGACTCTCAGTTCGGATTGACCGCTCGACTTGAGCAGGTTAGTCGCCATCGTCAGGACACGACTATTGATATCAACGGATCCGTGGAGGGGCCGCGCGGGGCTTGCGCTCAACGTGGCTGCCAGACCATGAGCGAATCCGACGCATCGCCTGGGAGAGTTCCGTCCACTAGTGAGCAGCCCCAGTTCTCGGCTGAGGCTGTTCATGCATACTGACAAGCAGGGCAGGAGCTGCTGGGGGCAGGCGAGCACGAAAGCCTTCATGCATGCGGAGGCATGAACCTGCACCGAGTAGCTGGGGTGCTGAAGGACTCCCAACAGACCGTCTCTGCATGGCTCCGCAAAGTTGTTCGCCGCAGACCCCAAGCAGTTGATGAGCGAAGCTATCGCGCCGAGGGCTGCGATCAAGGTGTGCTTCGTCGGCTCCGAGCGCTCGACAAGGGCTTGCGGATAGTTCTTGAGAATGTCGTTGATGATGAGCTTGGCCGCCGTCGTCTGTCCAGACTCGCCTAGAATCTTCTGCCCAATAACGTCCTGGAGAATGGTGTCAACGATGCGCCTCGAGATCAGGAGACGATAACGGTTGTTGAGGATGTTGGGCTGTCCGATCAGGTCGACGGTCAGATTTTCGAGGATCTTGAGGTAGTTCGTCTCCACCGTCCTCTCACCAAGCTTTCTCAGTACTTTGCCGTAGCAGACGCCGATGGCCGCCCTGGCTTTGTTCGACGTCGGCATCTTGGTGTACTGGGTCGAAAGGATCCTCAGAATCTCAGTCAGCGACAGCGCCAGATCCTGCGCCCTCTTCCCGCCAGGGGCAGGGCTGCCCGGTCTCGACGTAGGCAGATCGTCCTCGTCCGCGACTATGCTCGCGGCCGTGCCAGTGCGCTTGATAGGCTTCTTGCTCATCCTCTTCTGAGCCTTCGTCAGCGGGGCTGCCTCCGCGACGCCGGTCTCGGAGTGCCCCCTGACCATGGCCTCAGCCAGCGCCTCCGCGGCCGCATGTCTGACCTGCGACGACGAAGAGTCGAAGATCTTGAAGATGGCGGTTTGCAGCTTCTCAAAGTCGTTCGAGTTCTCGAAGTACGACGTGTGTCGTACGAGCGCCCTCAGGGCCCGACAAGCGGAGACGATGACCAGCGAGCCCTTGTCGCTGGTGCCGTAGCTGCGCGACTGCTTGAAGATGTCCCTGGCAACGTTTTCGTCCATGCTGCCTTCGACCATCTTGACAATCTTGCCCAGCGACGTGAACACGGCGGCGCGCAGGCCTGCGTTGCTGGAAGACGACTTCAAGAGCTTGATGAGCGTCGCGCACGCAAGTGGGTGCAAGCCAATGGCGCTGTCGCCGGCGGATGCGTACACGTCGCCCAGACACGCGACGGCGGCGTGCTTCGTGCGCGGGCCCGCATCCGTCTTGGATCTGGCCCCGGTGATGATGGCGACCAAGTCGTTGATGGTCTCGAAGAGAAGCTTCCGGTCGCCATTTCCAAAGATGTGGGCAAGACACTTGCCGAGATTGTTTCTGACGACGCGGCTCGGCTGGGGCGAGGGTAGGTTGACGATTTGCAAAATCTCCTTTTTGAGGTAGAACTGCTGGGCGGTGCAGTCGTCGGCGGAGAGGCTCAGGACGTGCTTCGAGAGGGTCGAGACAAAGGTCAGCAGGAACAGCTCCTGCTGCTCGGCGGGGAGGGCCTGGAGCTTTGGAACGTCGAGCTCGGGGGTCGAGGTCGCTGCCGAGTCGGTTATGGACGAGGTCGTCGCTGTCGGGGGAGGAGGCTGCGATGGGGGCGCTGTCGGTGCAGCTGATGACGGCCGCGGCGAGGCAGCTGCTTGCGCGGCGTCCTCGTGGGAGCCATTGGGAGCTCCCGTCGACGACATCGGGGGAGTTTGTCTGGTGACCACTTGGGGTCCGGTAATCTGTTCTTCTTCAATTGGGTTGCCTGTCTTCTTTCGTCGGAAGCTCTTTAATGGGGTGTGTTTGGTATATTGGGGACAGGTTGAAGGACGGGACAGGCATGCGGTCAGGTACGGGATGGGATGGGCTAAGGTAAAGCAATTAGGGGCGCGTACGCTACCCCCCGGCGGGTCAGCCTGAGTTTGGGCGGGATGCCATGACATATCACTTGAGGCGCTGGGCGGGACAGCTGTGGCTCAGTCTCTACTCTGCGAGGTGTCAATTCAGGGTCTGGGCCAATGGAAGCCACACACCACCTGTGCTAGCCGTTCCCGCTGTCCCCCACTTAAATTTTAGAGCTGTCTCTGACATGCCGCACGATAGAGCTCCCCCAAAGTCATGGTCGTCCGTGGCCCGGACATGACATGAACCAGAGGAGGTAGCCCTCACACCCGAAACCCGGAAGCCGCCCCGACCCGATCCCGGCCCCGAGTCACCGTCTCTCCTCAACGTCAACGATGCGTCCATTCGCCGCCGCCGCCGCCAGGAGCAGCTCCCTGCGGAGCATCGCATCCCGCGCCAGCGTCCCGGTGTCCCGATCTCAGCCCACCTTCTGCCGCCAATGCCTCCGCCCGTTGTCGACGACGCCCGCCGTCGCGAGTGGACACAACAAATGGTCCAAGATCAAGCACAAAAAGGGCGCCACCGATGCGCAGAAGAACAGCATGCGCAGCCAGCATTCCAAGAGGATCACACTCTGCTCTAAGTTGTACGGGACTGTCGACAACCCCCAGCTCGCCAACGCCATCGAAATCGCAAAGAAGGCCGGCGTCCCGAAGAGCCTAATCGACTCCGCCATAGCGCGCGGGCAGGGCCGCTCCGCCACAGGCGCCGCCCTCGAGACCCTGACCATCGAAGCCATCCTCCCGCCCGGCGTCGCACTCATCATTGAAGCCGAGACCGAGAGCAAGGGCCAGACCCTCCAGGAACTCAGGTCCCTCATCAAGAAGCACAAGGGCACTGCCAATACGGCATCGTTCTTCTTCACCCGCACTGGCCGCGTCGTCTTCGAGGCGAAAGAAGGCGCAACGGTGGACGACATCATGGATGATGCGATCGAGGCGGGCGCCGAGGACATTGAGACAGACGAGGAGGGCAACCTGATCATCTGGACGCAGCCAAACATGACCACCTCTGTCGCGAACGGCGTGGGCCCCAAGTTCGAGCTGAAGCTGCTGTCCTCCGAGATCATCTGGTCCGCAAACGAGGATACCCGGGTCGGCATCGAAAACGGGGAGGATGCGGTCATGCTCGGCGACCTCTTGGCCGCGCTGCAGGACTATCCGGAGGTCCAAGCCGTGTACGGCAACCCCGCCAAGGGAGCAATCTCGGAGGAAAGGTGGTCCAAGATCGAGGAGAACCTGGACTCGTAGGTCCTGGTCGAAGCCAAGGCTCTCTCTCTTCTCTGTTTGATATGTACAACATGTAGAACACACGTATAATACAACTCTACAGATGCTCTGAGGGGCGAGTGTTTGCAAAGGTCCACCTGCCTAAACGCCGCGTCCGTCGCATGCAATTTCCCCAAGCCGAATATTTTTGACATCCAAACGCCAATATGATACAGCGCCCCTCCCCCGCATAGAATCCACCGTGGGACATGCCCCCAACCCTTCCACAGCGAAGAGTCTCGCTACCGTCCTCGTTGGTATCCCGTCCGTCGCAATCATGCCTCGCAGCCGTCCTACTGCTCCTCGTTCGAAGGTGGGTTCTGCGCCGCCTGTGCGGCCTCCCGGTCTTTCCTCATCTGGTCAACGAGTCGCTGGCGCTTGGCCAGTCTGACGTACTCCTCCTTGATGTCTTCGCGGTCGAAGGGAATCTTGTGCGAGTGCTCGGCCTTGGGCCAGAAATCGGGGACGGCGAAACGGTTGTCGAGGTTCGTACCAAAGTAGTACATGATGCCAATAGGGAACATGACATACATGCCGAACTGGGTCGATAACGTCAGTACTTTTCTCACCCGTCTGACCCGAAAAGGAAAGGAAAAAAAAGGGTTGAAAAATACCTGGGGCGATGCAAGACTTACCTTGAAAACTTCCAGGTTGAGACCACCCATTGTAAATTGTCTGCGCAGGTGTCGTGTAGTGTGCAATGGCTGATCGAAATCAATGACGCTGGGATGGTCGGACGATTTCGAGTGTGGGTGATGGAGCTCTCCAGCGCGTACTGAGAATCATCTGCAGCGGTATTGGACGCCGGGGTGGCGCGGGCGGTCCGGAACCTCGGCGCAGTTTTTTCCACCTTCTCCGGGGTTTGAGTGGGCCCATGCCCGATCTGACAGAGCCCGAGGGGCACGCAGCGCCGATGCACATCCACGACTTCACGTCCGCTCGCCAAATTGACCGTGCCCACACTTTTCTCTCCAATGACCCGATGGGCCTTTTACATTCGATATTTATAAACTACGATGATGTCTGGTCGGGTATGCCATGTACGAAATGCTTTCGACCGCCGGTCCCAGAAACCCCGCCCCCACCCAAAGACTCAGCATGCCGCACCGTCCAGTTGCCCAGCCAAAAACTGCCTCTAAACGCCTAAGCATGGTCTATGTACAGACTTCCGGAACCCTCTACAGTTGGCCCATACCCATATCATACACATGAAATTTGGTGAATAAGTTCGAACTGCCGCAGTTAGTGCGGTCGCTGAGCAGCGGCACGTCGCTGGCTCTGTGCTTCCTCCATCATCATTCGTTCTGTCAAACTTCGAGGCGTCCCCGAGAACAATGCTTGTCCAACGCTGGCGCGATAGCTGCTGAGATCACCATCGTCGACGCCGCTACGTCCGTCCAAACCTCCGATAAAGCTGCTGACGTCACCCAGCGAGGCTGCTTGCTGGTACACATCGGGATTCTTGACAACCGGCATGATCACAGGTCGACCCCTGAAGGACCCGACCGACCCAGAGATGAGGTGCGCTGGGATCTGCGGCTCTGTTTGCTTGGGAATGGACACGGCGGGTGAGGTTGAGTACAGTGTCTGCACCACAGGTTCACTTGATTCAACCTCGTTGTCGTCTTCATCCTCTTCTTGTATCGGTGCAGGCCTGGCCCGAGGCTTGGGCGGAGCACTCAATCCCTCGAAATGGAACATGTCCTCATCATCTTCCTCCTCGACGCCACTCCGACTTGACGACTTGGTCGCTGTGTGAGGTGCTGGCTTTTCCGAGCTGGGGCTTTGGGGTACGGGGACTGTCCTTGTTGGCGAACGTGATGTCGGAGACATGATGGCCTTCTTGTTAGCAAACGACTTTGGCTTCGCCATGGCAAGGAACTCGTCGTCGGAAGAGCTCTCGTCGCTGTCGTAATCCCTCGCTGCGCGGACTGGCTTTAGAGGTGCCGGTGGGTCTGGGGCGCGCTGGCGCTCGCGTTCACGCCCACGCTCTACTTCAACCTTCTTCGGTGGGTCCTGGAGTTGGATTTGAGGCTGACGGGAGCTGCTCGCGTGCAAAAAACTCTCAGAATCAGACGTCGCCATGCTGCCATTCTCGGACCCAGCGACGTCAGGGTTCACCACAGTCCATACGGTATTCGCATCCAAGGGAGCTCTGGAGAGAGCCCGGAGTGCCTGGGAGGAAGACACCTTCTTTGGCGGGGGCCCGAGGTCCTCATCAGGGCCCAGCAGAGATTCGACAGTCATTGACTCATCTTCAGGCGGGGGTGGTGACCTCGAGTTGGCCAGGGTATGTGATTGCACCAGTGACGGCTCTGACGACTGCGGCGAGGCTGTAGGCAGCACCTCGGTTCCCTCAAACTCGAAGCGTACTCGACGCGGGCTGGCGGGGGGCTTAGATCCGCCGCTCGACGCCCGTCGCAAGGCACTCCGGCGGACCTTGGATTCGCTCTGCTCAGAGGTGCCCGAGGAGGTTGTCTCGTCCGTCGCCCGGCGCTCGTGGTTCGGCCGCTCGGGCATCTGCGTCGCGGCGACAGACACCTGCACAGCGGGACGGTCACTTGCCTGTCCGGAATTGCGCCGACCCATATCGTCGTCGGTGGTGGTCTTTGATGGTGGTGAGAGGACTGGCGAGTGGTTCGTCGCGGGGGGCGGTTGTGCACTGTCGAGCAGAGGCAGGTAGGTCGGAGTGAAGAGGCCGTGCAGTTCCCTATCCCTTTCCCGGTCGTGTGTACTGTCGGGAGAGGTTAGGGTGGCAGTTCCGGCATGAGAGAGGACGGATGGGGGAAGCGCAGAGGAGGGAGTCGACTGCGGCGTCGGGGTCGGGGCACGGCGGTCGGGGAAGGTGGTTTCGGTGGGCTTGTCGGGCTCGTCGGTGGGCGGCGGCGGTGGGGGTGAGTCAGGGTGGTCTCGTGGGAGAGTGAGGGCGGGAGCGAGATTGGGATAGTTGTGGAAGGAAGCGGCGACGAGACGGTCGACCTCGGCTTGCTTGTCTCGTGGGAGATTCTGGAGGAGCTTCTGGGAGTACCTATAGAATTCGGTTGCCATGTCTTGGCGGTAGGCTGCAACCTTGTGGTCGAGGTCGGCTAGCTTCTGATGCAGGTCTCCGATGAGCCTCGTCGCATTGTCCATATCCACCACCATATCGGTCAACAGGACTCAGACTCAGCCGAGCAGCTACTCCAGCGACAGCGGCAGCGGCAGTGGCAGCGGCAGTAGCGAGACTGGCCAGGGGAGATGGGCGGGAGAGGGCTAGGAATCGGGGCGAGGAGGTGGGCCAATGGGTTCCTAGGCGTGGGCATGACGCAAGGCGTCTGAGAAAAGGGAGCCCGTCGCGGCGAAATGGTCGGCGGCGTCCAATGTTTGTTCGGGGTGGACGATTGACGGTTGCGGCCAGGCCACACCCACTTTAGATTTGCAGTGCGAGAGGTAGACGCACGGCGAGTGCAGGGCCAGAGGCAGATGTGTGCGCCGAGCGTGTGTGTGCTATGCTATGCAGAGTGCAAGGTAGGTAGGGTATCGGTGATTTACCCTGGGGGGCGGCGGCAGCAAGGCGAGGCGAGACGAGGCGAGAACGATGGCGGCGGAAAGAAGAGCGTCGGACTGCAGATGGGTGCGCGCGCGCGTGCTCAGAGTGTACTATACAGTACGTATGAACTGCCTGGGGAATGTTTCTCCTGCTCCAAAGTTCCCCGCGGAGAGAGAGACAGAGACAGACTCTGGTTGAGAGTTGGAGAAGAACAGCCCAGAGATCAGGTCGGGGCCCCGGGATGGTGGTCTCGAATCAGGCCAGATGCGAGAGGGTGTGTGTATGTTGTCTCTGATGCCGGTTGAATTCCAGGGAGATGGTGGTGCCAGAAAAGTCTTGCTTGTCCCAAAAGCGCAAGGCAAGGCCCTAAGGGCAAGTTAGAATTGCGTGGTAAGACAGGCCGGAGAGGAGCGGTCTAATTACTGGGGGCAGGTTTGGGGTTGGGGAAGTGGTGGAAAGAGACGACAAGACAGACAAGACAGCCAGGCCGCAGGTGACAAGAATGCGCAGCGCAGCGCAGCAATGGAATGGAATGGAGCGATTTGTTTGTGGACGGCCGACTTCTAATTCTGTGAGGGGCTACCATCCGTACCTCTTCGAGGGGAAGGACCCAAGGTGCCCTGCGGTGGAGGGGAGGGGAGGCCTAGAACACCCTAAAGATGGTGTCCCCGATCCCCACTGTCTGGACTTTGGGTCGGTTGGTCGGGTCGTGGCCGCCAGGCATTTTCTGTCTGCTGCCATACTTACTCTCTCTTCACTTGCACTCCCACTCCTCCGCCTTCCTCTCCCGCAGGTCAGTCAGTTCTCAGTTCAGCGAGGGACACACACACACACACACACACACACACACACACACACACACACACACACACACACACACACACACACACACACACACACACACACACACACACACACACACACACGCTTTCTCTATGGACACTGGATGGGAGGGCACTCCGGGAAGGGCTCGGAGGGGAGGGGGGGAGAGGGAAATCTTGGGGGCACACAGAGGTACGTACCCTTTTACATTGTGGATTTGACACTGAGGGACCCGGGCAAGGATCCACGCCCGCCGATGGAGGGCACCGAACGGGGCCCTGGAAGGCTTAAAAGCCTTGGGAATCTGCAATGTCGCCTTCCACTTCCAGGGCGTGATTACCCAGCCCAGCTGCCAGGTGCTAGGCGCTGCCCGCCCGCCCTCGGCGGTGCTGGTGCTCGTGCCTGTCGGGTGCCTGTGCCTGTGCCTGAGGGCCCAGCAGGGCCCGTATCTGCTTCTGCGTCTGCGTCCTCGCTTCGCCTCGCCTCGCCTCGTCAGGATCCAGTGTCCAGGCTCGGGGCTTCCATATCCCCTGGACTGCACCGCCGTCCCGTACCTGCCGACCGTCCGTCCGTTGCGTGCTCTCGGGTACCGACGGCCTCGTTCTCACCGAAGCACCGTCAGCTCACAATATCTTCATGCTCCAGCTTCATCGTTCTCCTTTCCTTCCTCAACGTCAAGGATGCTTGGAACAGCAGCTCAAATTGGGAACCCGGCCTGTGGATCAATGTCATCATCGACGGAATGAAGGCCTGTTCCATCGGCCCTTCCGTCTGTTCTCGACTCGCCGTCTGCATTCTCTGAGACTTACATGTGCGTCCGTCTGAGGTTGTGATGCACATGCAAGTCTTCTTTCCATGGTTCCTGTCGACATGTCTCGTTCTCTCGTTCCCGCTGCTTTCGGGTCCCCCCTCGTTGCCCGCGGATCACACATCTCACTTGGTAACCCGCAATTTGCCTCCATTCGATTACCGGGCCAATATCAAAATCCACAAGAGAAGCAAAATGAGAAGGAAAACTCAAACCCCACGTCTCCCAGGCACTGTTGCAACGATTGCTGCAACCCCAGAGCTATCAAACGATCTCGGCGCCCGGCTAGCGCCTTGTTTCTTCAATACACGTGTGTATCTGCCCATTCTAGACAATCATGAGATGAGCCCATCTCACTCACACACACACACCAACACAAACATGTGCTCTCTTCACAACTTACACGACACTTGCCGATTGCCCTCCGCGAACCCGCCCGCCAAGAACCAGAATCTTGACTTTGCTGATAACGCGGGGTCTGTTTTGGATGAAGGCTAGACTTTCCAACCTTTGGACGAAGCCGCGCAACACTTTTTTGTGTTGATGGGCAAGGTTGGGTGAGGCTTTCAAAACAAGCACTGACTGCGGGTTTTGTCAAGGTCGCCCGTCATACCGCCAATGCTGTCGGATACTCGTTCCCTCACTTATGAAAAGCATCCTGGCTAACATGCAGCCACTTTCTCGTGTCGTCGAGTAATCCATTAGCAAGGTTTTGCTGCAGCAGCCGGTTCTCCAGGTCGTCAACGGCACCAGCCAGCCACGGGTAATGTCGTGGCGGCATCGCATGGGGGTGTGGTTTGGGATGCATAACATTTGACTTTCCGACATGCTTTCCTAGACGTTCCGCCGAGATAAGGTGGGAGGGGTGCTTGGGGGAGGGGGATGGGGGATGGGAGGGGGAACAAATCTGAAGTCAGAAGTGGGATGACCCCCTCCTCCCCTACACGTCGTGGTCCTCCCCCCCAAAGTCACGAAGTCACCCCTCCTCCTCAAGGCTCAATCGTCAACCAACCCCCGCCGCCGGTTCCCTGACCGAGTCCGGCTCTTGGTGTCACGCGGCCGCTCCCCACGGCGCATGACTGGCCATCTCCTCTCACCGGTCCCGGAATCCCGTGACAGAACCTCCCACCCGACCCCACGGGGCCAACAGCTTTGCAGTCACGGGATCGACCGCAGCTGAATATCTTGTCTCCTCTTCCAAGTTGTCACCTTTCTGCTCATCCCCTGTACTTCGTAAGCTTTCCCACCGCCGCCCGCCCCTTGGTCCAATCCCACGTCTCGCAGATCACTCGCAGGCCTCCCAGGCCCGGGGCTCCGCTCAAAATTAATTAACTGTTCGCCCCGGCTGGAATACAATGCGGTCATCGCTGCTACGGCGTCGCTTGCATCTGGCAGTTCCGCATTGCAAAAATGCGACATGGAGGCAACAACCTAAAAACCCTCAACAAAAAATGGCTGCCTTACTCAGACAACCATTAAGCTTATGCCCACGGTATCCGAGTACGACAGTCGCGCTGGCCATGGGGTATCATCCATCCAGTGGCAACGAGCCCTTTGCCCAGCACACACTTTTTGAACTACCTTGACAAGCTGAACAGCCGTCCAACGTACGCTTTCCGTACATGCGTGCGCTGCTTCACACTCGTACCGTTGCCCCCTTTCGGTCCGTTGTTTGCCTGTCAAGCAAAACCAAAAATGGCCAAGACACGTTGCGGCAAGCCGTCGCTCTCCCGCTGTCACCGCTGCACGGTGCGGTCATACTGACGGCTGTCCCGAACTCGCCGTGCCGCGCACGGCTTGGCTCTGGCAAGGGTGCCCGGGCTTAAGGTTCCGGCGCCGTGACTCGGAGCAGGCGGCGGAAGACGACCCTTCAGGAACTCCGCGACGGGGGGGTTTGCTTCGTTAGCGCGAATATCGCTATTGCTAATTGGTGCGATAAGCTGGCTTGTTGTGAGGTTGGTTGATGTTGATGTTGTCGGCGTTCCGTCATGCCTGGCGTTCGTAGTCTCTGGAGCGTTGCGTATACGAAGTTGACAAGAACTAGACACCATGTAGAGGCTTGGCACGATCGAAAGAGGCTGATATGAGGCGGATGGTCCCCGTATGCGATGGCACGCTGCAGTAGTGCCGGCTGTTGCTCAAGGAAATCCAGAAGCTTCTAGACCAATGTTTTGAGGTTGTGGCTGGAATCCCAAGATGGTCCTTGAGTTCGTTTACTGACGGTTCCCGCAGCCTTCGGTCGCCTTAACGTTGTGTGGTCCCGTTGGCTCAGTCTAGCGCGGATCACCTCACGGGATATGCTCAAAGTAATTGAGAAGCGATTGTCTATGGAAAGTCCTATCTAAACCTTCAGTTGAGGTTGACCACGTAAGTATCTCTGCCCGATCCTGTTATCGTGCGTTCCTTCCAAGGATATCAACTCAAGTCGGTGAGCAATAGCAAAGAAAGCAAGTATTCCTACATTTCGGTCCATCCTGATACTTCCCAATCCGGTCCTATAAACCAACTTAGTCACTGTCGTGATAGGATCCATCGCTGTCTTCTCCGTGGTCGGTGCCTTGCTTGTCGTTGTCGACTGTATACTCATCGCCATTGTCGTTGTCGTCCGGCTCCGTCAGCGTCATCAGCAAGGCCTGGTAGAAACTCATCATGATGGGAATCAGCATCTTTCTGTCGCGATTGTCGGCCTCCGTAGCCACGGCACCGACGAGACCGGTGTAGTCTTGCCGCATCGTGTTGATGTTGAGGTGTAAGTCATGGCGAACCGCCACTTCCAGCTCACTCAGAAGATTGTTCACTGCATCATCGGCCTTGTTGGCAGCGTCATGGAACACCGACGCCCGCTGCGCCTTGACTTCCTCCTCCATCAACTCCTTCATCTCATTGAATGCGCCAATTCCTGTACAGAGTCAGTGGGTTCTGTGTCAAAGTGTAGCATGTGTCGCTCCTTACCTCTCACTTGTGCGCACTCGAGATATGTGTCTCGCAAGGCACCTTCAACAGCGGGATAAAATCCGCGATTGGCGTTACGCTGCTTGTCTCTGGCGAGCAGCTTGTGGTGCTGGTTGGCGAGAACCATGGTTTCGTTGAGAGCACCGATGTGCTTGCTCAGAATCTCGTGCGCCATCTCGGTGTTCTCGGTCATGAAGCGACGGCTTCTCATGTTTCCATGGAAGGCGTGGATCATGAGTGTAGAACCTCTAGCGAGAGAGTCGAGGATCTCTGGGATCCGGTTGTTGAAAGCGCGGTCCCAGAGGTTGGCTGTCGCATTCTTCATAGGTCTAAGGAGGTCTTGGAAATGAAGATGTTAAAACATTATCAGCCATGGGATCCCGGTATTGCTTACCTTCATTGAAGTCACGAGACCCGGCAGCACCTCTGAACACACCGCTGCAAGAACATATGTCAGTTACAAGGTCGTCCACTAAGACATCTGAGTAGAGAGACTTACCGGCGGCGGCAAGTTGCCTTGTAAGTGTTGTATCGAAGACCACCCGCATTGTGATGGGCACCCCAACCCTTCGCCGTTGCCAGCGCCCGAGCAGAGGCATTTGCAGCTGCCTGCGGCATTCTCTGGAGAACAGTGTCGACAGCCTCTTGGCATTCTACCATGGAATTGGTGATGGAGTCTCCGACGGCCTACCAACTATCAGCCGCTGCTTGTCATTTTTGGGATCGCGACGACTCTGGCATGCTTACCTTTCCAAGCTTCGCCAGCCCCTTCTCCAGAAATTCATACTCCTCTTTCTTCTCCGCATCAGACAGCTTCAGGAAGGCATCGTCGCCCGCGAGAAACAAATCCATGCCTCTCAAGAAGCGGCAGACTTCACTCAGCTGGTGCTTGAACCAGGAGTCCTGCATGGCCGCTGCTTGCTCTAGGGTATGTTTGCGAAGAGCTGGAACCTCGGTCTCCTCAAGAGAGGTAAAACCCGGGACACGCTTGTCTCGCTTCATACGCCCTCGCAGTTGTTGAAACGCACGACTGCTGATGCAGAATACAGGCAGGGCGCGACCAATTTCCTCGTAACTAGGCCTCTCGGTGTCTTCTTGCTGCTCCTGTCCCTCTGCAAGGAGCTCGTCATCAAGTCTATTATCGCCGGGGTGATTAGCATTTCATCAATCTTGTAGTGGTGAAAAAACATACTCCTTGATTCCTGCGGCGAAATCTTTCTGAATCTCGCGTCTGGAGTACTCGTTCCGGCCCTGGATGCACCTGGAGTACATTTCCGTCTTGATTTTCAAGCGCTGAGCAGCAAGGTTCTTGGTGGTAGTTTTCAGATCCCTGATACGATTGTTGGTCTGCTTCTTCTCTTCTTTCAGTGACCTTTTTACTGCCCTGAGCTCCTGAAGCTTCGCTTTCACCTCTTCTGCAGACAAGGGCTTCCGTTTGTCATCTTCTTGCGAAGGAGCCTCCTCGTCTGACTCGTCGCTTGAAATCTCCTCGGTGCCGCTGGACTCGTCGTCGGTTTTAAGCTTCTTCCGCGCATCGTTGGCGGCTTGTCGCTTTCTCTTGTTAGGCGACTCAAAGGGAGCGAAGGCACGTCCCTCGTTTGCGGCCTGAAGTTGAATACCCTCCCACGTGTCGACATTGTTGCTGGCGATCTGGTATTGCGCTTGGAGATCAGCCTTTTTCGACTCCAACTTCTTGACCTCCTTCTTCAATGCTTCACTGTCGGACTTCATGTGCTCCGCACGGCATTCCTCTCCTAGTATGTGGTCCCTGAGGCCGAGTGTCTCAGCCGCCTCATCAATAGCAACATCATCCGCCTTGGTACAGATGAAGGTGATGCTCCAATACGAATCATCGTACTTCAGCTGCTGTTTAAAGTTGTGGCCCATCAAGTTCTTCGCTGTCTTGTCATCAACAGCTCGAGTAATAGGCGCGACAACCCAGAGACGAGTGCATTCCTTGATGTATTTCGCAGCCACAGCTGCTCTAGCAGCGTTGGCGTCTCGACCTCCGGGCTAATGGTGTGTCAGTAGCGAAGGCAACGAGGAAAGGCCGGAAGACATACCAAATCTACCAGGACGACTCCTGTGGACAAGACTTCGGACTTCAAAAAGACACGAACGGACTTGATCAGGGGCCAGTAGGCCATTGCCGTGTTTGGGCCATTGCCTTTCTCCTCAGAATCCACAAATGACTGGATTTTCTGGTAGAAGGTGTTGCTGCCTTTCTCCTCGACAACCTGGACGGTGCCAATCACTTCCCGGATCTTCGAAAAGTTGGCAAGCACGTAGGGATCGGCCTCCACGAGCTGTTGGTCAGTATGTGTCGGGTACACCGCCTTCAACACGGTGTACGCATTTTGAGCCTCGCTGTCGGCGACTCGGATGTCTTCGGACAAGTTGCCATTGTTGCCTAGGATGTCGCGAAGAAGAGCCGTGACTTCCGTTGACCATTCTGCCTGTGACAAGAAGTGTATCTCTGCTCTGTATTTCTTGGAATCGTCGTTGGAGGTGTTCCAAGAGATTTCGGTGATGACAGCCGTGCATGCGCGCATGCAATTCGTGGGCACGACTCTTTCCTCGTCTAAGACCGCGTTGATCAGGGAAGACTTGCCTGTCCCAGTGTCTCCAAGGACGCCAATGACGAAGCGCGGCAGCTCTGCTTCAGATTGAAGCTTGTCGATTGACTCACAATACTTAGCGGATCGCTTCATGTCAGCCATGGAGCCAAGGGTCTGTTTGAGGTTATCTAGAAGGTCAGTTGTCTTCGTGCTGATCTTCCGAAGTTCCGTCCCGGTCGCTTCTGCTCTCGCCGTTTCCAGAGCCTCTTGTGCTCTTATCGCCGCCTCCAAGGCTTGGTGCACCTCTTCATCCGCCATTGTGGTTGACAGCACTGAATATCAAAGCGAGTGGTGAGTCTGCAATAATACGTGTCAGCCCAGAAGCTCGGATTCGATGCACCAAGCAATGCCTGGTGATGAATGTGGCAACCGGTAAGGTTGAGTAGTCAGAAGACGAAAGTGACTTGAGTAACCCGTGACCACGGAAGGCGCCACTGTGGGCAATTGAATGAAAACAACGACAGTATTGAAAATAGTGTAAACAAGCGGAGAGACAGAAATTGAAAGAGGTAGACGGGAAGGAAAATGTAGGGTAAGCAAGTTAGGCAGGGCGCGCCTTCCCCTCGCACCGCTACACGCAGATTCAGCGAAGACTCACCAGGAATAGAAGCGGTTCAAAGCTGAGAATGAGGCGTTCGCGACAGCCAATAGTACCTAGAAAGTCAACAAGTTTGTGTATCGACGATCAGCAAGAACTGCGTTGAGTTGATGGTGGTGTGTGGAACTCCAAGCTTGTGTTGTGTTGCGGAGAAGGAGGATAAGAGAAATCTAGCGCGCAGAGAAGATGAACAGACTTGAGGAGGCGGAAGGAAAAATTGAGGAGGGAAGGTGCTCCCTCTTTCCAGCTGCCTGGGCAGCTCCAGGTAGAGAGCGTCGAGTGCTTTAGTGTCCCCGCCTTGTGTTGGTGTTGTGGGAGGCAATTCTGACACAAAGCACCCGGAAGCTGTGACGTGCTATTGGGGATCGTAATGTGCCTGAAGTGCTTAGAGTGCTGATGACTTCCCATGTGTAGTGCAAGCTCACTTGGAGTCTGCACAGACGATAGCCCATGGGGTTGCCTTGAGATAAACCGTAATGCATCTTCCATCATCCTTAACAAACATCTGTGAGGGAAGAGCGACTTTAGGAGGCACCTTCTTTATCCTCTTTTTTGAAGTCAGTACGATAGGCAACAGAAGCCACAGAAAATGCTGGTCAGTGCTAGATATGAAAGATGTTTCTGTTGATTTACTACATCTCTGTGAGATTCAGGAATAGTGACTGCTTTGAATAGACGAGACACAGATTGCAGAAGAGTCTTGAAGAGTAAATACGCGTAAAATAGACTGAAAATGGGATATAAGGACAAATTCCGTGAGACGTTATTGGAAAGGCTGGCTGAAGGAGAACATACTCCGAGTGCTGCTAACGCGAGACAGCTCAGCAAGACAACTGGGCTATGCGGATGGAAGGCCTTAATTTCACAGGACGGACACTTTTCTATTTTCATAGAGATCCAAGGAAGGTGCTATGTGCGTGAGCAGATTCATCATTGCAATACTCTTCATCAAAGGTTAATCACAGATAGCAATGCTCCGTCTTCCAAGGAAGCCATAATAACGACTGCTGAGATTCATGGAAGATATCAATATAAAGAATGGAAGGAATTCAAACTTGTGTTTTTGGGGCCATGTTGCGACAGTCGTTCAAGAGGAGACCGCCTCACTTCCTGTGTACATCATCAACTTGGGTTTATGCCCCCTTTGAGGACATTAGCGGAAATAAAGACACCAGAAATATATATGCAGAGGCGATAATGGGGACAATGCCACTTAGAATAATAATGATAGAGACGACGACAGCAAGCAGAGGATCAAATCTAATGGACCGTTGTTGACCTGAGCCTCACCGAGGTCGGGAAGGTGGGCCAGCGATCAGGGGTCCAGCTCACCGCCTTCCTAATTGGTAGTCTGGAGCCGTGGAGCTTGGGGGCACCAAGTCTGAGCTCCAGCCATCTCCTTGCGCCTGTCACAACACACCTTCCACCAACACTTGCGCTTCGCGTCCCGGTTCCGATTCGAAGCCCGCCAGAATGTCTACAATCACCCATACCGCCCTGCAATCGGGTCACGCGCCCATCATTCCCCTCTCCTTCAACTCGAACCAGCCGGAGACGATCCGCCTCTACCCTCTGTCCAACTACACTTTTGGCGTAAAAGAGACCCAACCAGAGGAAGACCCCTCCGTGATCGCCCGTCTGAAGCGCCTCGAAGAGCACTACAACCAGCATGGCATGCGCCGCACCTGCGAGGGCATCCTTGTCTGCCACGAGCACAACCACCCGCACATCCTGATGCTGCAGATCGCCAACGCCTTCTTCAAGCTGCCTGGCGACTACCTCCGCCCCGAGGACGACGAGGTCGAAGGCTTCAAGTCTCGTCTCGACGAGCGCCTTGCGCCTGTTGGCAGGATTGGAGAGGGCGAGGAGCCTGCGGACTGGCAGGTCGGTGACTGCCTGGCGCAGTGGTGGAGGCCCAACTTCGAGACGTTCATGTACCCGTTCGTGCCTGCGCACGTCACCAGGCCGAAGGAGTGCAAGAAGCTCTACTTTATCCAGTTACCCAAGAGCAGTACGTGCTTCACTCTGCGTCGATGAAGTCTGATTTGGTGCATTTTGCTAACACCCCTGATAGAAGTGCTTAGCGTGCCGAAGAACATGAAACTCCTCGCAGTCCCCCTGTTCGAGCTTTACGATAACACCGCCCGCTACGGCCCTCAGCTTTCTGCAATTCCCCATCTCCTCAGCAGATACAACTTTGAGTTCGTCGATGAGAACGGTAACATCGTCGCGGTCACCCCCGGTTCGTCCGCACCCGAGGGATATGTGCCCCGTATCAAGGTTTTGGCTGGGGACGACACGGATATGCAAGAGGCGAAGGATGAGAACGGCGAGCAGTAAAGCCGCTTCACACAGTAGCATCTCACAGGAAAGGATTGGGCGAGGCGTTCGGCGTAGGTCAAAAAGTCTAGACCCGGTGGCTGTACAATAGTTTTGCCTCACGCATATGCCAATATCGATTGGTGCACTTTAGAGGAAATGGTGATTGTTATTCTTCTATTCGCATTGTCTTCTTTATGCCTTGGGCTCTCCCTGGATGGTGGCGACGAGCCGGCGCTGGTGCCTGCTGGCTCTGAACTCCAGGTACCAGATTCCTTGCCACGTTCCCGTAGCCTGTCCAGAATGAGCAAAGGTTGCGATCGGAGATCTGCTTCACTTACGAGTCTGCCGTCCTTGATGGGAATGGTGACGCTTGCGCCCACCAGAGCGCTCTTGATGTGAGCCTACGTCATATTAGCAAATGCCCAGACGATAAGGCCAAAGCCGACTCACGGGCATGTCATCAGGACCCTCGGCGCTGTGGCGGTACAGCTCCTGTCCCTTGGGGCCGGCTTCGGGTGCGATGCGGTCCAGCGCGTCGCTCATGTCGGCCCGGACATCGTCGTCCCAGTTCTCGTTGAGGCTGAGAGCGCAGCTCGTATGCTGCACAAACAGGTGCAGAATGCCGACCTTGTAGTTCTTGAGCTCGGGAAGCTGGCTCACAACCTCGTCTGTGATGAGGTAGGAACCGCGGGAGCGCGCTGGCAGCGTGAACTGCTTCTGGAACCAAGAGCCCGTCATTGTCGCTGATGGTGGGGTATGACGTGGGGTTGACCTGCGCGGCGTGGAAGATGCGAAGCCCAGGAGCGTGAGGGGAAGCTGCCAGAGAAAGTGGAATAAATTGGGAAAGAGGCAGATGATCAGGAAGACGAGGATCAGTAGGGTTGTTGTCGAGGAGAGGTGTTGGCGGTTTTGTGGTGTCGGAGACATGGTTGCTGCAGTGCTTGGAGATGAAAATGGTGCAGGCGGTCCAATCTGGTGGGGCAGGGTCGATGGGTAGGTGAGGTCAGATGGATTGCGAATCAAGTCACTTTGATACGCACAGAACCGATGAGGGTGCAACGTCAACTTCCTGGTTTCCAGGGTACCGTGAATTTCTATTTGCTTTTTCGACAATCCTCATTGACCTACCAATTAACGATACGGTCGGCCTGTCCTCATTTACAAGACGAGAGACGACCATAAGTTGCAGGCTTATCTGCATGGCCATCCACCCTCACTACTCAACACTTGTGGTTCATACCTGAACCTATATTGATGTATGCATTAAAGCCAACACTTCATGCTCTCTCTGGTACTTTCTCTCGCATTTCATGCTAGACGCATCGTTGTTCATCGCTCACGACTTAGTCAGAATTGCCGGTTGGCCAACATTCAAATCGCTTGTGCAACGCTTCCCATTCGACATGACGGCCCTCATGTCCTTCATTGGTGATGCCGCCGCCAATTTTTGGTCACACGTGTCCAGCTCCTCTTGAAATGTGAAATGTTGTCCGAAGCACTGATTCTGCTATATTTACAAACATCGCCATGCCGTTCTATAGCATACGGCTGGCGCTACTTTCGTTGCAGTCCCATCGCAGTCCTCTCCCGCATGTTGTCCAGCACTTCTCTATGCAAGGGGGTAGGAGGTCTCGGGGAGGGACTCAAGGTGCTTGCGGTGGTGCTCGTTGGCCTGCAATCAGTTAGCCAATGCCCTCCAAATGACAGCCCTTGTTGTTTTGAAGGATGGAGGTCCAAACATACGTAAGGCAGACCGCAGTAGTTGCAGGAAGCGATCTCGGGCTTGTCGGTGTTGATGAAGATTCTGGGGTGGCCGGCGGGACCGCCGCCTCCGTCGCAGGCAACGATGCGCTTGTGTGTCCAGGTAACGGGCTGCTCGTGGATAAGCTCCATCGCGGAGTACGGTTGTGGCTGCGACCAATTGGTTAGCCCGTCTCCTTCGACGTCGTCGTCGACTGCAGGTGTCTCATCGTCTCACCTGGAGGTTGAAGTCCGTCTGCTCGAATCGTGGACCGGTCATGGCCTTGGCTCTGGGCTGCTGGCTGCGCGACCAGATGAGGGATCGGTTGGGGGCCTGGCCGACCTCTTGCGGGACGGTGGTCTCGGCCGTCTGGGGGGTAGCGGCTTCGTTCTTCTCGACAACGGCGGGTCTCTCGGTGGTGCGGGCGGCCACGGACACGGTGAAGGGGCGCGAGGCAACGCGGAGCTGCCGCGACAGGGCGCTCGTCGCTCGTCTGGATGCCGACAACATGGTGCTGGCTCAATTGGGTGTTTCGTTCGAAAGGGTCGCGCGGTTCCGGCTCACCAGACAGTCGGTTTCTGGGGAAGCTTGGAGTTCCTGAAGCAATTGATTACACCTGCTGTCATTCGTCGGGAAGAATTAAACCCCGCTAGCCGAGGTGAGTGGTGCCCCACTTCGGTGTGTTCGGTGAGGCACTCCATTGTCTTATCAGCCACGATTGGCACGGATCGTTTAACGCGTACCGTCTCTAACCGACAGTCTTGGAGAGCCTGAGTTTAATCAAGTCGATTGACCGCAGCTTCTTCTCCAGGAGACGGCCATCTCCATGCCTCCCGCAGGCAGTTCTCAGCCTCATGTGACAAGCAGCCGGTCAGCATCCGTGGCCAGAGCCAACACAACAGCCTGCATCCGCTGCCGGCAGAAAAAGAAGCGGTGCGACCAAAAGCTGCCAGTATGCATTTCATGCTCTTCGAGTGTCTAATCCAGTCATACACGTGAGGATATCTGACGATCGCATAGAGATGTCGCTTGTGTGAGCTTGCTGGGGTCGAGTGTTTTGGTTACGACGCCGTCGCCAGGAGACAAGTTCCTCGAAGGTTGGATCAAAAAGACGTCTTTTCGTGTGACTACTCACACCTTTCCGTGCAGCTACATCCACAGCCTCGAAGACCGTGTTGCGTATCTCGAGTTGAAGCTTAGGGAACATGGCATTGACTACGAAGACGGAGCAACCCCAGTCCAAGAGACTTCGTTGCATACTCAGCATACGCCAAGGCTTCCGGAGTCTGTGGTGAACGAAAGAAATGGAGAATCCAATACACCAACGCGAGGTCATGCCGAGATCAACGCTCCCTCAATGGTGACAACTCAGCCTATCATACCCCAAACTCAAGTTGGCGCTGAACATGAAGCCTCCTTCACTCACATTCTCATGAGAGAACTCATGAGCTCACGGCTGGCACCGCAATTGCACAGGAGTCGAGCTCCTGGTCCTGGCCATCAGAGGCAGCAAAACTCCTCCGATATTGCGGGTGATTTGGACACGAGCCCTCTCTCACTGCCAACGAGACAGATAGCGGAGAATCTCGTCAAAGAGTACTTCCAATCTACGAGTGCTGGTATGCCGTTGCTGCACGAGCCCACCTTCAGAAAGAAGCTCGATCTCATCTACGATATGCCTCGAGTGGTCGACATGGCCGAAGACCACAAAACTATAGAGTCGAAACTTGCTCTCTTCTTCGTGCTCGAAGTCTTTGCGGCGGCGCTCCTATCAATGTCCAAGAATGATCCTGCGAGAATACCAATATGGCTAGCAGATCGTTATCACAAAACAGCTATCGCAGCTCTCATCGAAGCCGGTCTGCCAGCCGACGTCGAAGGCGTCCAGGTCCTCCTCCTCGTTGGGCAGTTCTACTATCTCCATCCAACACTATGGGTTGTCTGGAATACAGTTGGTGCTGCTATCCGCCTTGCCGTGGAGCTGGGCCTGCACCAAGATCCGTCCCCCGAAGAGGTGGACACTCTCACACTCGACACCAGAAGACGAACTTTCTGGGTAGCATACGCAATGGATCGCAACATTTCGGTGGCGCTCAACATGCCGTCCTGTCTTTCAGACGGCGCAATCAACGTCGAGGTAAGCCCAGTCTTGCAATCTACAAGAATTCAAGCTCATGGACATAAGTTTCCTAGCGATATCAACGACGAGCTCATCACCATAGACGGCATTAGGCAGGATGAGGCGCAAAAGTCAGGAGCTAAGCTAGTCAGTCTACATCTGTTTCGGTACCGCCAGATTCAGTCCGAAATGCAGCGAGTTCTCTACGAGAAGCCATCGCCTCCGTATTCCCCCGTCCCGATGGACGACTGGCAGCCAAAGATGCGCGACCGTATCGACGAGTGGCTTCGAAATATCCCCGCGGGAGACAACTTGAACAGCCTCGATAAGACTGTCGTTGAAACCTTTGAGCTAACACATCATACGGCGTTGTTCCGCCTTTACCGCCCATCTCCGAACAATCCCAACCCATCAGGTATTCAACTGCTAGCCGCCACCCAGTCAGCCATGAAGATGATCCATCTTTACCGGGAGTTCTTCCGCAGGAAGAGATTGACCATTTACTGGCAGTCTGTGGAGAACGTTTTCTCTGCCGGGACAACTCTGTTGTTCGCGTACACCAACTCCGCTGAAGTGAGAGAGGCGATCAGCTCCCAGTCTTTCCAGTCTCTTGTCAACACATGCTCTTCCATACTATGGGGGATGGTGGAACATTTTCCAGCATTTCAAGGCAAACGAGATGTCTTCGACACGGCTTCGTCAAAGGTCATGATGGAACTGTCGCATGGCGTTTGCTCGGGCGAATCCGGGCTGGTCGCTCCATCCTCTGCAACTGATACGGCCCAAGAAGTCCAGGAGACACAATTAGCCTCGCTGGGTACGATTGACTCCACCAACTTCGATATGCAGCCGTCATCTACGAGTCTTTTGGACTTTGATGATTTGTCCATGATATGGGAAGCCACGGCTGACTTGAGCGGGACTTTCATGCCGTCCTGGGTGTGAAATGGCCATGTTGTGAGGATATCGACGAGTATGTTTGGCAAATCTTTACCAGCAAATTCTTCAAAATGAATGACATGGAAACCATGCGAAGTAAAGATTGGAGACGGCAGGCTGACATGTTGAGAAACGTTGTCCAATCATTCATAACTTACTGCCATGCAACCAGTTGGTATTCAGCAGAGGCTCAGGCTCGCCTCAATCCCTTCTAATTGGTCGCCTTATTTCTCTCAAGCTCTTCTACGGATGTGTGTCCACAGAAAAATGTGTGTCCTTTACTATCCAAAATCAAAATCGCCATCCTAACTTCGCTGGCTCTCAAATGTCTTGGCCGCTTTTACGACAAGATCTCAATTTACGCACATATTATGAAGGGCCCCACGGGTACTTTGAAAGTTGAATCTCGCAACGGAGTGGACTCGTCCGGCGAGGCTCCAGTGAGCCGTGATACTGACCACTTGATCAACGATGATGCACCATATACCACAGGATGGATATGCGCTCTGCCGCTGGAGCAGACGGTAGCCATAGCGATGCTTGACGAGATCCATGACGATATACGGGTCTCCAAGGCACTCAACAACTGTAATACCTATACGTTGGGCTCCATTGGCATACATAATGCTGCCGTAGCCTGCCTACCGAAGGGTCAGATGGGAACGGTGTCAGCGGCAACGGTCGCAACACGCATGGTCTCAACATCCCCATCCATTAAAATTGGACTTTTGGTTGGGATTGGCGGCGGTGTGCCGCCTACAGTCAGATTGGGCGATGTTATCGTCAGCACTCCCACTACGAACTCTCCGGGAGTGGTTTAGTGGGACTTTGGGAAAACAAGATCTACCGACCATGGCAAGGCCACGGAGTTTGAACGAATCGGGATACTCAACAAGCCTCCAACTTGCCTGCTCACGGCAATCTCCAAGCTCGAGTCTCTTCATGCTCTGCGTGGCTCGCAGGTTCAGCAATACCTGGATGAAATGGAACACAGATGGCCTCGCCTTCTTCCCAAGTACGCAAGGTCTGCCGTCCTTCATCGGGACTTCCTGTTCTCAGCGAGCTACTGCCACGTAGGCGAGAAGCTAGAAGATGCGAGCGCTCAGGGCTCAGGCTGTGAGGATGATCATATAGCAAGCTCTCCCACATTGGTAAGTTCGGCTTGCCGATCCTGCGATCCAAAGAAAGCCGAGGAGAGAAACCGTGAAGGCGACATTCAAATCCACTATGGCCCTGTCGCTTCGGGCAACCAAGTGATCAAGGATGCCATTTCTCGAGACAGGCTGAACAAACAACTGGGTGGCAACGTCATTTGTATCGAGATGGAGGCGGCAGGCTTGATGCCGGATGTTCCCTGTCTGGTGGTACGAGGAATATGTGACTATGCAGACTCGCATAAGAACGACATCTGGCAAGAAGACGCTGCAGCCTCTGCGTCCACGTTTGCCAAAGAACTGCTCAGTCACGTAGACTCGAGCGACGTTCATAAAGAGAAATCAATACAGCTGATGATCCACGACGGTTAGTTTACGACTTCTGCAGACGCGGTAACGCTTCTGACTGAAACTGTGGTAAAGTCAATCATGTCTAATATGCAAGAAGATTTCCATCGTCTCGTCACAAGATTCAACCAAGATGAAGACAGTCAAGCCCTTGAGTGGTCGAAAGGGCTAACACCGATTGACTATGGGTCACAGCAAAGTGATTTCCTCCGCACGCGACAACATGGCACCGGCGAATGGTTATCAGATCTAAAGGATACTGCGCTTGGGTAGCCATAGCTGGACAGACACTTTTCTGCCCCGGCAGTTCCCGGAGCTGGGGGAACCATCATGTCCTCTATTGCCATCGACGATATTGGCAAGCTTTTTTCGCAGTGGGTATGGTGATATGGTAGGTGTCGCACATGTCTTCTGCAACTATCAACGCACTGAAAATCAACGACTAGAACATCTGCTGGCTACACTGCTAAAACAACTAGCAATGGAGCGGACCAACTTACCAGAGTGCATCGCGAGCCTCCATGAGAAACATTGGAATAAAAGTATGAAGTCATCCTCAGGAGATCTTATTGAGGCACTTGAAGCAGTGTGTGCCTCATTTACAAGAGCTTTTGTCGTGGTTGATGCCATGGACGAACGTCAAGCTGAGGGCTGCCGTCTCTTATTGGCGTACTCTTCGACCTTCAACGAAAATTTCCGAAGGCAGTGAGCTTGTTCATAACGTCACGACAGGTTCCAGAGGTGAAGGAGAAGTTTCAATCGTCTCTCCAACTTGAGATCCACACTACCGACGGGGATCTCTCTCGGTATTGCACACAGTCGTATCGACCACATTCTCACATGGATTTGCGTTCCAGAGGAACGCCGCCTTCAAATCCGAAAGGAGATTACTGAAAAGATCACCAGAATTTCCGGTGGCATGTAAGCTTTTTTGTCAACTTCAATACGCTTTCCCAACTTACGATGTCTTAGGTTCCTTCTCGCCCAAATGTATCTAAACTCTTTGAAGGATCAGACTTCAATGAGAGAAATCCGCATCGCTTTGGCGGCCTTCAAACAACATAATGGCCCACACGCCTTGGAACACGCGTACGATCAAGCAGTTGATAGAATAGAAAGCCAGCCCCGGAACCTACACCAAATTGCGACGAAAGTTATATGCTGGACCACCCGTGCGATAGAGCCCCCCACCCTCTCTGAGCTCCAGCATGATCTCGCTGTGGAGCCTGGCGATACTGACTCGACTTCTCTGGCTGGAGAGGAGCCGATGTAATCCTATCTGTGTGTGCCGGACTTGTCATTTTTGACGATAAGACCAGGGTTGTTCGTCTCATACACTTCACAACCCAGGAGTACTTTCAGCGACCAAGCAAGAGTGTCCAATCCTTTGGAGATATGAAATCCTTTCTATCTAGAGTTTGCGTCACTTACATCTCTTTCAGCGCCTTTTCAAACATTGAAACTTCCAAGATCTGGGAATTCTCTGATTTGATCAAACGATATCCGCTACTTCCTTATGCCTCGACCGCCTGGGGCATACATGCTGCGCACGATGCGCAGCTCAGTGATGAGGTTGCTGAATTCCTCCCAGATGAATCTAAGTTGGAGATTATAGAACGCATGACGTACAAATATAAAGCACCATTCCCGCCGAGTGACGGCAACGGCCTGCATTGTGCTGCGTTTTATGACATACTAGGCGCGATCGATACATTTTGCGGTGCAAACACGAACGAGCTCGATTCCCATCGACAGACACCTTTATACTATGCTTGTCAAGGGGGACATACCTCCGTGGTTCAGCGCCTTCTTCAATATGGCGCAAATACATGCCAATCCAGCCAGATGAACTCTCCATTGCACGCCGCTGCTCAGGCAGGAGATCTCATTGGAGCCACTCTGTTACTTGATCACGACAGTAACGTTGACTCGACAGACGCAAAGCGTTCGACAACACTAATGTATCCACATATTTCTGGATGACGCCTTTGTTTCTGGCATCTACCTTGGGTTTCACTGGTATGGCAGAATTATTGATAAGCTACGGGGCGAATCTCGACACCCAAAGCCCCGATGGACAGACTGCGATGACCATTGCGTCCAAAACCGGGCTTGAAGATATGATCAAGTTGTTGATTGCCGCAAAGTCAGTAAATGGATCTGGAACAAGCGCGCAGATCAAGAACGACAGATAAACTCGTAGTGGATGACACTTGGCACTGGGTCCTTGGCCGAATACTGAATAACAGCCAAAATCACCCGCAAGACGAGGTTGGCTTTTCTACCTTAATGGATTCTGGGATGACAATCTCGTCTGTCGAGCCGGTTTCGTAGTCCCTAAAAAGATCCAATCACACTTCTGGCACAATTGCTGCCGACTTAATCTTCCTGTCTACACCGCCAGTAGAGTCGACCCTCTCAACGTCATCCGCATCGGTAGCCTCAATGATCGTGTTACGATACGCCTCTCGCTTCGGCCTGTCATGTGTGTCAGAAACTGTTTCCAATGTTGCAGAAGAGACGGGGTCTTACAAGAGGTACTTGACATCAATGTACCGAAGCACGCAAGTCATGATGATGACGAGGACTCCAATAGCTACGGATGACTGCCAGGCATACTTGTCTGTGGAGCGTCAGCGAGTGAATCTTAGATTAGAACCTTCCAGACTTACAATAAGGAGCCTGAGTAGCAGGCCAGACGAGCACCTGGGACCAAGCAGAGATGGCATAATAGCCGGCAATGGACACGCCAACAATCAGCGTTCTCGCCTCGGGGTCTTGAGGCAAGAGATCGGCCAGCCACGCGAAGATGAGAGGAGCTGTGCCCATGGCCGTGAAAGTGATGAAGTAGCTTGCGTAGGCGGTTCCGATAGGCGTTGTCGTTGGGTGAGCTGACCAGACACTCATGGCGATACATACGGCGAGGCCAATGGCAGCTGACGTGCTGTTAGTACGTTGTTGGCAAGGATGATCAGGCCGTCCTTACCTTGGACAACAATGAGAGTCCATCTCGTCATCAAGAGGTCGGACAGAATAGCCCAAACCCAGACTATGCCTCTGTTAGTTCCAAGGCCTGGACGAGTTTGAGAGACCGCACTGACCGAAGACAACGTTGATCGCACTACCACCGATGGGAATGGCGTTCACCTGGTCAGTCGACCACCTGGCACTGCCGTCCGCGTTCTTCAAGCTCTTGAGGAACAAGTTGAAGTAGTTGTTGCCGTACGTCTCGAGAACCGTCGCAATATAGAGCACGGGCAGGAAGTAGATGACCCAGCTCTTGAATGCGCGTCTTCAGACCGTTAGTCATTTCCCTTGACGACTGCTTACAACACATACCTCGTGGCGGCCCAGGTCATCTTCTTGGGCTCAGCCTTTCCGTGGCGCTCCAGTCGCTCCATGGCGAGCTGAGCGTGGCCCTTCTTGAACCAGAACGCGCGAGGGTTGGGGTTGTTTGGCGTGTCGGGCAACAGGAAGAAGCCCATGGCACCAACAACAACGGTCATGATGGCGTTGACAACAAAGAGCCAGCGCCAACCGGGGAGGCCTAGATTCAGCATCAGCACCGACCGAAGCTATCCCGCAGGCAGGATGCACTTACCGTGTAGTCCATGCATGGAGCTTCTGATGGCCACTTGCAACGCTCCCGACATCATTGACCCGACAGCTTGGCACGAGTGGTAGAACCCCATGCGCTTGGCCAGCTCAGACGGCGTATACCAATGCATCAGCAACGTCATCATGCCAGGCCACGCGGAACTCTCGCAGAGCCCGAGCAAAACACGGAGGACGTAAACCTGCTGGGCGTTCTTGACGAGGGCGAACATGCCCGTGATGATTCCCCAGCAGACTTCAAGACCGGAGAGCCAGTAGCTCGGGCGCACGTAGGTCAGGATGACTTGTGAGGGGATGAGCATGATGCAGTATGCGACGTTGAAGTAGGTCGTGAAGCTTGGGTTGCCAGTCAGTCATGGTGTTGCAGTCCAAGTTTACAAATGCGAAACTCACTAATTGTACTCATTTCCCTGGAGGTTGAGGTCCTCCTTCATGCCAGAAACGTACGCATTGCTGATGTTGGTCTGGTCCAGGTCTTGACGGATTGTGTTAGTAGCCGTCAGTTGAATTGAATCGATCGCAACTAACACTTGATGACTGCAACTCTTATTAGTTGAATCCAAAGCTCAAAATAGATCTCCGGGCTCACCTTGCGAAATGCATCCAAACGTCATCAAAAAGATATCCAGACGTCTCACGAGTTTCGCCTCCTCCGGTGTTCGCTCATGGCGCGCCGCAAAGGCAAGATTGCCGAGGTTGAACAGGCCCATTTCCGTTCCGAGAGAATGAGGGGTTGGCCGCGGAGTGCAGGAAGAGACAGAGCAATTGTTGGTTCACGAGAAAACTGATCCAAGGCGTTGCCATCCTATTATACACGTTTCCCCCGCAAACCGGTGCTGAGAGTAATTAGATAAGGTAAGATAGGCTGTAAGCAATCTTTGACCGCATCGTTTCCAAGGCTCTTCCTATCTTGAGAAGAACACCCCCGGCCAACGTCCCGGCACTGTTATCAATGGGTAACCACTACCACGCGTTGATCATGTGGAGGTTGCAACTTCCGGTTAAGAGCAGAGTTGCATTGCGCGTAGCATGGAGAGAGCACAGGCCCGCCCCCTCATTGGGGCGGCCAACGCCGCTCACGAGTCGGCGGGCCCTCCGACAATGCATGCCCCGTACGATTCGTCGATAAGGTCATGTGAGGCGCTTGTGCTGACTCTTTGGGCAAATTAGACATGTCGTCTCCGGCCTTTTACAGTCGGATTTGATGCGTTAGCTTCCGCGGTGGGTACGGGGAAACGAGTTGACGGTTCTGAGTGTTGCATATTGGTGAGGGGCGGTGTTTGCCGCTCAACAAGCGGCAAACCCTCCGACTTTCGGGGTTGCCTCTCACAATCCCGGTGGACTGTATTATCCCTCATCCTGGGGCTCGGTTCGCAACTGTCAAGATGTACCTTGTCTTATCAATTCATTTGCTGAGTGAGGAAAAGAGTCGGCAGGTCCCGCTTGCGCTTGCGATGGCGGAAGATGGCCGCTGACTGGTGACTAGAGTTCGAGATCCGCGTCGCAGCCATGATTTAAAGTATGTCCTGGGTTCTGCTCAACAGCTGAAGAAAGCCCAAACACCAAAGCGCAGAGAACCAGCCGCACCACAATGACAGGCCTCCCCGTCCCAGACCCCTGCATCTCGTTCTGGCAGCAGACGACCAGATCGTTCTCCTACCTGAACCACAATGACCAGCAGCCCGTGCCGAAAACTTCCAGGTACGTCGTCATAGGTTCCGGGATTTCGGGTGCCTTGACTGCCTACAAACTCATTGAGGCCGGCGTATCGGGCTCGGATATTGTGATCCTCGAGGCTCGGGAAGCGGCGAGCGGCGCCAGCTCTCGCAACGCAGGCCATGTCAGGCCGGACGCCTTCCGCGGCTTCACGACCTATAAGACGCTCCACGGCGAAGAGCAAGCGTTAAAGGTCATCGCCAACGAGAGGGCCGTCTTCCACGCAATCGACGAGTTCGTGAGAGAGCACGGCGTGCAGTGCGATTTCAACCCCACAACCACCTTCGACGTCTGCTTGACACAGGAGTTTGTCGAACACAACGCCCAGAGCCTAAAGGAGTACCGGGAAGCTGGCGGTGATGTATCACACATCAAGTTCTATACTGGCCAAGAAGCAAGGGAGAAGACTGGCGTCCACGGCGCCCTGTGCGCATACGAATGGCCGGCGGGGTCTAGCCATCCTGCCAAACTCGCACAATGGCTCCTGACGAAGAGCATCGAGAGTGGTGTACGATTCTTCACTCATTGTCCGGCCACAGCCGTGGCCAGATCGCAGTCCAGCGGAAGTGAAACATTTTGGGACGTGCAGACGCCCCGCGGCACCATCACAACTCCCACTGTGATTCATTGCACCAATGCGTTCGCGTCGCATTTGCTGCCACAGCTCGCTGCCTTCGTCGCGCCGGAACGCGCCCAGGCTCATGCTTTTGTACCACCGGCGGCACTCACCGGTAGCAAGATCCTACCGAGTACGGTATCACTGAGGCACGGGCTTCGGCACTTCTATTCGGTCAACCAACGTCGTGCGGATGGAATCATCATCTTGGGTGCGGCTGCAGCGAGTCCCTTCGTAAGCGAAGCAGCATACACAGCCAAGCGAACATCCAATGACCAGGCCATCAGCGAGGAGATTCGTGATGATTCGGTGGCGAACTTCCAGCGGTGTTTTGCAGAATGCCGGCCGGAGAAACTGAGCCGAGGTGAGGGACTGCTTCACGCCTGGACGGGTATCATTGGCATGACCCCCGATATGGTGCCGTTCGTCGGAAAGGTCGACAGATACCCGGGTCAGTGGGTGTGCGCCGGGTTCAACGGGCATGGTAAGTACGCTCCATCATTGACTTCATAATGGGTTCTGACGAGAGAGTAGGCATGGCGCGAATCTTTACCTGTGCGCCAGGGTTGGTGAAGATGGTCCTTGGTGGAAGCTGGGAGGACACGGGATTGCCAGAGTGCTTTGAGATGAGTTCTGAGCGGTTGGAAAAGCTAGGCGGGGGCTGTTCTATTCAGCCTTCCAAGATATAGAGGCAATGTAGATGGCAAAGAGCGTATCCGCAAGTGAAGATGGAGGCAGTACATTACATCAGGCCCGTGAGCGATTTGGTGTTGTCGGCGGCAGTTGAATGAGGTGTGATAGATGCATGTCTTGAAGCCGCTTCCCGCTCCCTCTCCTTGGGCGCGCACGGACCCCAAATACCCCTGCGACACTGTTTAGCGCAGGCGGTGGCCACCATTTCTTGTCTCCCAACGGCAGAATTTCCAGATTTTTGGTCCTTCCCAATCAAGATCTTGACGCGCCTCATATCCTACCTCCGACCCCGCAAACCATCTATCGACAAATTCACCTGCCCGTGGCCGCTCTCGAAGCGCACGAATGATCCCGCGCGACTCGTTACTAACCGCAGATACGTGAACAACACCAGCATCATCCACAATGTCGAAGAACTTGGCGCCGGAAACGCCTCCAAGCAGAGGAATCTCCTCTCGCTTGTTGACGATGAAGTTCATGCAGAGAGCTGCTGCGAACGGATCTCCAGTGGAATCATCTCCCGACGAGCCTTCCTCAAAGAGGCGCAAATTCCAG